TAAACCCCCTAAGACGAGTAGGATTAATATGCCTGGCAGGACGGAATTCCGCGACCCTGAGCAGGCGCTGCGTGGCGCCTTTTCCAAGGAAGCCACCCTTATGCCCTATCATGCTACAACATACCGACCCGAACGCTCACCACGCCCACCATTGATATATGAGTACATACATGCAGCCGTATCTACCGTAGCGGTTATTGGCAAGATGCCTACGGAAAACTCGTCCGAAATTGCTTTTTGAGTCATTAAGAACGAAGGCTTTTCTTCGCAGGTTTTGACCGTTTCACTTCGTTTTTTTCGCCATTTTCCCACTATATAGCGCCCTGCTAGCATGTTAGGTCTAGTACCAAATCATCGTGCCAACTGCCTTTGAGCTTTTATTTCCTTCGAGCTAGCCTTTGGCCCTGAAAGATAACACTCCACCGGTCGTAAAATTAATCGTAAACAGGCCTATCGATTTGTGCAACTTGCAAATCACTTGGACCATTCTGCAGAAGAGCGGATGGAAGTTCGCGGGACACAACAAAAATTAAAACATCACGGGATCATGGTCTGCCCTTATCTGGTCGGTGAGCGAAACCAGAGCAATACGGGCGGACTTCGACCAGCTGGGAGCATTCTGCTGATTCTTCTATCTTTTCCCGATGCCAAGACGTCTAAAGTATGCTTGCTTATATTGGCAAGATTCTAGAGGCTTCACAAAAAGGTGCCGTGTAATCCAATAGGACTTAGCAAAAGGAACTAGCGAAAGAGCGAAATGCCCCTCCCAAACTGCACTACGTTTGCCTGAAAATCCACAAAAAAAATCTGAAAATAGTATTGAACGTTTATTCACGAACATTATTGCACTTGTACAATAGAGCATAGATAAATCAGAATTTCGACTAGAACGACTACATCAATCGAACAACACAGAAGGCAATTGGCTGGCACACGTGTGATTCACATTCAGACGACGAGGAGGATATGTCCACTAAAGAACTGAGAGACTTGGAAAACGTGACGACAGGCCGGGCTCTTCGCCATGTCGCCACCATGAGCGATGCTAAGGGGGAAACAGTGACTTGAAACGAACAGATTAAGTGACACAGTGGCGCGATATGCACTCAAAATTGAGCGAATCACTCAGAAAACAGTACTACTATAATACTTATCGATATATGATAAAACTCTATCAATTACATCACATTAAATAGAACAAGCAGCTATTTCCATTAGTCGTACGAATCTGCTATGGGCTGATTATTTCACACAAAATATGGAAATTTCAACGATCACTCAAATTACACTCCTTATCCTGCAGACAGGAAGGGCGTGGCTGCGTACTTCGCTTCAACAAGACGGCGGCTGCGCTTTTGGCGGGATATTGCAGTAATGTGACAATTTTAACCATGTCATTGTGCTGCAGCACAAGATCGATGTACCGATGGGGAAGTAACTCAAGAAAAATGTGTCCTATGCCATGCTCAAAGGAAGTACGCAGCCACGCCCACTCCATCTTCGGGAAATGGAGCATATATGTTGTTAACACTCAACATAACAGTATAAAAATGATCTGATTTATAGTTATCTGTAATGATTACAGTTGTCACGGGATAAACATATCTCAGTACATTCCTCTCTCACATGTTGCTTACAAGCCTGTACTTCTCCTCTAGCGACATGTCGAAGCCGCGATGGATGTTCTTCTTGTTCTGACGCAGTCTCTCACGAGCTTCTTGTGCCGAAAGACCGAAAATGTCGAATTTGTCCGCTACTGGAGACACTGAAACGAATGACATCAGACAGGAACAGCAATGCGCTTTCTGTACAGCCGTGATCCCTTTAAACGATAGGGTGTATGACGCGGCGCGAAATGCAGCGCATCCAAGGCGCCTTTCTTCCAAAAATGATGCCGCAGTCCAATATTGTTGACGAGAAATCTGACTTGGCTGCGCTCCATGCCATGCTCCCGTCACAACGCCCTGGATTGTGACTGCAGATCAGGTAAAATTTGGGAAACCCAGGTTTACCTTCTAAAATTACCGCGCGGTGACGTCAGTTCTAGGGTTAATCATGACGGTCTACGACAAATAAGCTAATTCATGACGAGAAGTGAACAGATTAGCCTATTAGTGATGTAATTCGCCACTTTGCGGGCATGTATAGGGCAAACAAGGCCAGAAGAAAGGGGAGCTAGGTTCGTAATGGTGCAATAAGTGGTGTGTAGTGAAAGGTGCGCTCGAAGTAACTCAACAAAGCTACACAGAAAAACGACAGCACCTCCTAACTACGCATAAACTATTTATTTTCCCTGACCCGTCAACGCTTCGGTCATTGCGGCAAAGAGGCACAGCATGTTGCCGTGATGGAAGGAAACTGAGGCGGGAATACGTCGACTGGCCCCAGTGGAACATTTTCTAGGAACAGACTAAGGGCCCATTTGGCAGATTTACAACCAGTTCTTTCAGTTTTTTCTTCACTGTCGCTCCACTTATCACC